ACGAGTGTGCCCCCAGACAGGTACAAACATTTTTGGGTAGAAGCATGAAGGAGTACAATACTTGTGAGTGGGGATGCAATGGACTCCTATAGGTAGATAGTAGGTTACTCGTCCCAATCCCATTAGATAAAAATCTATTTGTATCCGCTCATATCCAGAAGAGGGTATGCATTAAGAAGATACTCGAATTTTATAAATACTTGTGAATATCCATGGACATTTGTAAATTTTTTAAAACTTAAAAATTAAAAAAAGTATTACAACTAAATTTAAGTTTGTGCCTGACGTTAATTGTATTGAAATATTAAAGATAAAAGAATTAACATTAAATTTTGAATTTGCATTTAATGTTAATATTCTTGAAAAATTAAAAATAAAAAACTAAAATAAATAAATAAAAGATAAATATATAAGTATTTAAGTAATTTTACTTAATGGGTACTCATAGGTATGGATACCATCATACCCATTCTCGCTCTGTTTATAAACGAGTTAAAAATTACTCATATATGTTACCTATAGATATCCATTTATCCTACTCATTTATTATTTGTGACAATTTTTATATGTGGATATCTGCAAGTGTGAATTTATTTGTTATCCCTAATTATAAACTTAGTGTAAAGATAATATTATGAGACAGTACTTCAAATATCATGTTTTTATGTAACTTATTTTAGTTACTCTAGGAATTCTTTTAAGGAGATTGTTCATAAAAAAGTCAAAAATATAAGGAAGGAAATATTTTGACAAAAACATTGATAATATAATCAAGGCTTAAATATGCTATAGCCAAAGCAAGATGACTTGAAGCATGGAGTATGGAAGCCAAAGTAAGATGACTTTGAAGGGTTTTGATGCTAAAGATAAAATAAAAAATAAAAATTACCAAACATGAATATAAGCATTTTTGGGTTGAAGCATGGAAGACTGTGATAGTTGTTAGCTTAAAGTGAAGATAATATTATGAGATAGCTTTAAATATTCTGAGTTTTGCGTGTTTTTATGTAATTTTTATTTACTCTAGTGATTTTTTTTAGGAGATATATTGTTCATGAAAAAGTCATAATTACAAGAAGGGAAATGAATCAAATGATCACAAAACATTGATAAAATAATTGAGGCTTAAATACAATTATAGTCACTCTAACATAAGCGAGTTTTAATTTTAGATGTGTAAATTCTTTATTTTTATCTTTATAAAATTTAGACTTATAGTTTTTAGTCCCTACTATTAGGTTTGTTTGATTAAATTTTTTTCCTTTTAAGAAATATTTTTAATAAAATAAATATTTTTTATTTTTATGTGTTTGTCTAAAAAAAATTAATAAACAATTTGTGTTTTTGAAAGAAATGTAGGAGTACTCACGTGTTAACAACCATGTGCTGTTATCCTTGTTGAAGTTGTTATCATTTCTGTTGCTATCTCTTGTTGAAGTTGTTATCATTTCTGCTGTTACCTCTTCCTTTTATATAGGTTTCGGTTATTATTAATTCAAATGTATCGTTGATACAAATGTATATAAAAAGCCCACAGCATGAATAAAATAATGAATCACATTAAAATAATACTATACAGTTCTCCCTTTATCTATAAGAAATAACTTCTATCTGCTTTTTAAATAAATGTTTTTTTTTAAATCACTTGTTTAAAAAAATGAAGCTTAAACAAATAGATTCATAATGTGATCATTTTTAAGTACTTATTTATTTATTAAAAAATTAAGTAGTTATATCAGATGTTATTCACAAATATTTGATGATACTATGTGAATGTGTGACACCTTTAAAAAAAAATTAGATCATTAAAACAAATGTTAATTAAGGACCAAAAATATTACTTTTAGATTTCAGCGTGATAAAAGTCAGAAAAATATTTTACAATAATTAAAACTAAAATTTATTCATTATTAAAATCAATATATTTACAAGTTTTTAAAAAATAATAAATAAATAAAAATAAAAATTATAAAGATCAAAATTAAAATTCATTCATTTTATAAAATTAAAAACATGTTTAACTTAATCTTATAAACAAAGTTAAGTCAGTTCAAGTATTAAGTAATCCTATAAACACCACTTCCCGTCCGACTGGCGTGTGTAAGGCATGCCACCAGCTATTACTAGAATCATTTTTAACAAGTGACCAACATGTTATTTGTGTTATAATTCAATTCACTAAACCAACGCCATGGGATGCCTCTTCAAAGGTTTTCCTTGGCCTTGCCACCTTTATTACATGCATGTTGTGTTCTTTCTTACAGCTATTTGCGGGACTAAACCTTAGTTCAGCCCTAACATGTCTTTTCCCTCTATTGCTAGTCCTATATATAAAGTGAGATTCGAGATCCCTCATATATTTACACCTCCATCACTAACTGCAATTGCTAGCTATAGTTTGCGTTAAGGGGCAACCAACTGTTTCCTTTGTTTTTTAAGAGTTTTTTTATGTATGTACATATAAAAGATATAAACAAATGAAAATAAAAATGATTATATTTAATATTAGATATAATGTCAATTATTTTATGTATGAATGACAAAATTGTTTGTGCATATAGCCACATTGTAATAACAACTTACACAATTTATTTTCCAATATTTTCCTTTTTTCTTTCTGGTACATTTCTTTTTCTTGTTATAAAGCGTTCATGGAAAGAATAGGAATCAATTACTATATAAATTACCGAAAAATCTATCTAAGTTAAAAATAACATATATCCTCCTCGTAGTGACAATGTGTCGTTATTGTTCATTTGTTCATCGCTCTCCCTTTCGTTACTTTTTTAACTTTTTTATATGATTTTTATTTCTAAAATATATTAATTTTGCAACACCATGATTTTATTATATTGTGTTTAATATATTTATGTGTTTTTTTAATTTAAATGGGATGTTTGAATATTTTGTATGTTGTGTGATTATTTATGTTTGAGGGGTTGTATTTAATGAGTTGAAAGAAAAAGATAGGTGGAGTTAGGAAGGAATATGTGTATGTTAAAGGATTAATAAAAGAGAGAAGGGTTAATAGGTGGTGTCTGTGGTAGTTGATGGTGGCTTCGAGAGTGAGAGGCTAGGAAGTTTGATCACAGTGGGTCTTCCTTCCCCTACTTCTACTTTTTCCCTAATTGAGAACATTCCCTAGGCAAGGGAAGTTTGAACTTTCTGATTTTGATTGTTTGAGTTTTAGGAAAGTTGATCTTTGATGAACTCATGTGGGGCTGTTGAAATCGGGAGAAAATGTTGGTTGAATCCCTACTGTGGTTGGTGAATTGAGGACTTGATAAGGTCTCGTATTGTTGATTCTTTGAATTGAATTATTAAGGTATTTTTGTTTTGTTTCATATCAAACATGCAAAGAATCAATTCATTTGCATCCAAAATAACGAGAATCATATTTGTAACATATTTGAGTATTAGAAAAATTGATTTTAAGATGTGAAAATTTACATTCATTAGGACAAAGTTATTAATAGTTTCTCCATCAAACAAAATCAATTTTGAAATTTTATCTACCCAAATTTATAATTAAACACTCAAAATCAATATTTATAACAAGTTTTCAAACAACATTTCATGTGAAAATCAAGTCTTTATCCATGTTTATCTAAATGAAAATCACATTACTTTTAACTTATATTTACTCAAAATTAACTATACAAATTCACGTTAATTCAAAATCAATTATATTAATGCATATCCTGACAAACTAAGATTTGTATTATTATAATGTGGTTGATTTTAGATATCTCATTTATAGTGTGTTTATTGTCTTGTGAATTAATGAAAAATTGGGAGAAATGATCGGGTTTCTCTTTGTTTGAGTTGTTGGTTCAGAAATTGTATGATAGGTTATGTTGAGATGCATGTGAAATGGGAATTGCATGATGCGGTAATTGTGTTGTTAGAAGTTTTGCTTTTCCTTGCTTTTGAGGGGTTGGGATGCATTTTGAGGGGCTGAATGGTTTTTGGTAATGTGATGAATAGGAGATTTGGTGAATTTTCTCACGGCTGGATCTTTAGATTGAAGAGTTGATGTGTTTAAGTTGCATGTAGTTGTGTGGTTGATGAAACTGTTAAGTGTGGGATGTGTTATGATGATTGAAAACTTAGAAAATCTTAAAAGAACAATAGAACCTATATTATAACAGAAATTCCAATCTACAAATTGCATAGAGGGCTTAAGCGAATTTGAAATGGTCTAATGCAATTTTTTTCAAATAAACCATGTTCACCTCGTAGTGGCTGCTTCGTCATTGTTCATTTATTCACCGCTCTCCCTTTCTTTTTCTTTTTCAAAATTTTATTTGATTTTCATTCCTAAAAATATATTAATTTCTTTTAGAAATTTGTTTTAAAAAATGTCAGTGTTCAACTTCCGTTACTTTTTGTTTCTATTTTTTGAATATTCTTTTTATACATGTTCAAAAGCAATAAAATAAGAACAAATAAATAATAGGAAAATATTTCTTTGTGCTGCTAGATAACAAATTTTTTTTTTCAAAATCAAATTTACCTTAAATAAAAAAGATAAAATTGGAAATATAGCACTTCCAGATTAAGTGATGAAAATAAGATGCTGAAGTTTTCTTTGCATGAATATTAAAAAGATAAGGTGATAAAAAAATACAAAAAAAACATAAAATATAGAATTTGTTTCTCCTTTTAATAAAATATAATTTAGTTATCACCAGTATTTATAATTGTGTATGTTATAAATGACTTGAGAAATTTTAATAGTTAAAATTATTATAGTTTTATATTATTTTTTCCTTATTCATCCTTGAAAATTCCTTACTGACAGATTACAAGCTTCAATTGAAAACTCGATATCAAAAAATAAATAAATTCTTTAGACAATATATGAGAAACGCGGATAATAATACTAGTTGACAAATAACGACAAAAAATAAATAAAAGTAAAAAATACTAGTTCACGAATCACGCGGTTCGGAAAGCAGCAGCAAAATTTATGTTTAAACAAACAAGGCACCAAAATATAACGTATGGCGAAAAAAGCCAGTTTCCAAACAAAACTCCGTAAAGAAAAGAAAAGACCTAGAAGCTAATAATCATTCACAGATTGCTCACTTAATTGTAAGTTATTTGACAACCAGCTAAGCCATAAATTCATGCCTATTTCTGGCTATGATACAAGTAACGAGAATACAGGGATTTTGTGAACATAACTGACCAAATCTTCGATCTAGAACTATGACCTAAAACCATTACAAGTACAGCATATTATGTTCGACCATATCATACTATTACAAAATTGTGAAAAATTATGCCTTGCACTCTATAAGCAAGACAAATGAGATTGACAACCTTGCATCTGATGATCTGCGTCACTTCTCCTAACTGGACACAAGTTCAGGAATCACTCACCTTTAGAGCTTATTAATTTGTTGCATTAATCAAGTGCAGCCCGCAGCAGCCACAGAAATAACCATTTCATAAACAATAGTCTTACTTCTTCCTCGGCCTATGTTTAACTTTCACAAATTTTCGACCAGCCTTGTCACCCCCACCAGTACCCAATGAGAAACTCCCACCAGCATTAAATTCGAGACTGCCAGAAGCCTGAAATGGAGATGGATTCTGGGGAGCAATATTCTGTTGACTGCCAAACTGGAAAGGATTCGCTCCTGTTGGAGTTGATGCTCCAAATGCAAAATTTGATTGAAGTGGGGCAGGTTGTTGACCAAATACCGGGGTTGCAGGTGTTGCTGCTTGAACTGTGTCTTCAGCCATGCTATCCTCCATGCTCATCTGATCATTATTATTAGCAGAAGCTGAAACAAAAGTGAAGACAGGAGTAGAACTTCCGAAAGCAGGCTGTGTGTTGATAGTAGGTGCAGCAGAACTGAATGAAAACTGAGGTGTTGAAGCAGATGATCCAAACATCATGGGAGAACTTGTAGAAGTAACAGAAGGAGTGGATGCTACAAAAGAAAACCCAGAGGTAGATGAAGATGATGAACTAAAAGAAGAACTAAAGGAAAACCCAGAGGAAGGTGAAGACGATGAACTAAAGGAAGAGCCAAATGGAGATGATTTGCTGGGCTGCCAACTTGAAAGCCCAAACACAGAAGAACTTGTGCCACTACTGGAGCTAACAGGGTTGGCTTCCAAAGAAGAAGCAGGGGCACTTTGTCCAGAAGTTGTACCCGCATTGAAAATGTTAGTAGTGGCCGAATTTGAAGAAGGAAACAATGAACTCCCTGAAGAAAAAGCTGTGTTCCCAGTCAACCCAAACAATGGGGATGATGCAGATGAACCAAATGCCACTGACTGACTCTCAGACGAAGTTGAGAAACCACTAGTAACAGAAGATGCCAGAGCAGCAGAAACCGACCCACTTGTAGTGCCAAAGACAGAACCGAGGGACTGGCTATTTCCAGTTGCCGTTGTTGAGGAACTAAACCCAAAAATGCCACTCCCTGTGCTTCCAACTGCAGCAGAAGAGCTTCCAAAAATGCCACTCTTGTTTTCCACTGGTTCTGAGCCAGAAGATGATACAGGTAAACTTGATGGTAAAGGGGAAGATCCAAATTTGAAAAATGAAGTTGTGGGAGATGAAGATGCCACTTGGGCGGAGGAACTGCTATTGCTGGCTGCAACTACAGAAGGGGTGCTAGAGGAGGTTACAGTGGCACTAATGCCACTGTTGCTTGCTGCATCGGATGAGCTACTGAATATATTCTGACCTGTAAAATTCTTTGTTGGCATAGGTGGAAATGCAGAGGAGAATGCAGGGCTTGAAGCAGCAGGTCCATTATTTTCATTTGAACTGTTGCCAAAAGTAAATATATTTGCGGATGGTGTTAACAATGGCGTTGATGCTGCAGAAGAAACTGGTTCAGGTGACCGAGCAGAGAAACTAGTTACTATATTAGTCTTAGCACCAGAATTATCTGAATCAAGAGCTTTTGGCATTGAATCAACAGCACCGGCAACGGTAATTGAGCTGCAAACGAATAGGACATTTAGTACATCTATGACCCTAAGACCAAAAGTAAAACGCCTTTTGTAAATCAATATATGCCCGAACAATAAAAGGGAAGAATGAAAAGTGTTAAATAAGCATATAAGCTATTATACAGAACACAGGGAATATGAGTGAGTGTTTAGGAAACATTATTTTCCCACTTTTCAGCTGTTTGTGAATAAAGCTAGTTGTTTGGGAAACTAGCTGAAATTTATAAACAGCTTTATTTTTTTTTGAAAAATAAGCTGTTTTTATAAAGCTAAAAACTTGAAACTTTGATTGTATCCAAATGAAATTAAACATCTTAAAATTGCTTATTAGCAAAATTACCCTAACAAAATTTCATGTTGATTCTAATTGATTATAACAATAATGCTATAATCAACTATTCATATAATCTATTATTGAAATAGTCTAATATTTACAGTTTTACTACATACACCCTAAGAAGTTAACTATGATAAAAAGATGTACTCCCAGAGAGATTCCTTTTTTTCACTGACAAAGTAAAAAAGAACAGGTAGAACAGACACATTATAACTAATCAATAAAATAAACTACGTCTACATGAGATTAAAGACTTGTTCCGAAAGGCATTTAAAGGCAAGCCAAAATCACATACACTAACCTGATTGTGCTTTTTGGTTTTGAGTCAGAAGAGCCAAATTTGAACACAGCAGATTCACCAACAGATGAAGAGAAAGTAAATGGCACTTGTGGAACATTATCAACATTTTTGAGGAAGCCAGAATTAACCAAAGGAGCATCAGCACCTGTCTCTTTTGATGATGCAACCTTCTCCAAACCAAATAGTGGACCTGACTTAGTAGAGTCCTTTGATGGAGCATCAGCAGCTGTCATCTCTGTCGATGGAACAACTTTATTCCCAAAGTTAAATGTGGGAGCATTAGCAACTGATCCATTTGGTGTAGTAGACTTGTTAGAGCCTAAATTTGTGTTAAAAGCAGCTGTACTTGCACCTGTAGTTGGCTTAACAATAGGATCAGAGGCAGAAGAAGTTATAGAAGTCGGCACATCACTCTTCTCTTCAACTTTAGACCCATCAGCTGTCCTGACATGAGGTTTACCATCTATTGTAAAAATTTTGGATGGCATTAACACCGATGAACCTGGGGGCTTCTCTGGGACGGCAGTTCCAATGGCAGGGGTAGTTCTATCAGCCACAGAAGCAGAGACTGTTGTTTCTTTCCCCAAAGTAGAGAAAGTAGGCACAGCTCCATTAGGATAGGCATCATCATCCAGCTCCAGATAATCCTTTACAAGATAGAGAAGGAAAAAAACAACAGTGAATAATCATAATCACAGATTGAATCATATTTTTCATTTAAAGTCCACCGCTTTATGTCTGTCAAATTAAATCAGATGTATTCAAAAAAAAAAATTCCAGACAACTGCTTCAATCATCACTATTTGAAAGCAAGAAACAAATCACTATGAACAAGATCAATAGCCCCAGCTCTTTCCACTAAGATAAAAACTAATAATTAACAAGAAAAAACATTAAATCTACAAATGATTTAAATAAAGACAACTAAATAAAACCATGACAGAAAATAATTAAGTAAAATATCAAACCTCGGGTGCACTCATATGGAATGCCCTGTTTTTTTGTGGAGGATGAGAAACAGGTTTTGTTCCAGAGGAATCTCCAGATTTTAAAATAGATATATCTTGCTTCCTTTGGCCTGTAGCCTTTGCATCAGTTACAATAGGAACTGATACATTAGTAGCAACAAACTTCAATGGACCATTTTCAGTTTCATCTATCTTTGATTTTAACTTTTGAGCACTAGCAGAAAAATTTCCTCCAAGTGTGCCATCCAAACCATTATCCCGTATGTTATCCAGGAATTTAGATGAATCTACTGTCTCCATACTTCGAAGAGCCTGTCCTTGTAACATGGATGAGGACAACTTTGTTGGAGATTTATCGGCCAGAGTTGGTAGCCTCGTTTCTGGTGATTTTTCTTTAGGAGAAACCAACTTATCAAGTTGCTGGAGTATTTTTGAGGCTGTCTCACTAGATTTAGAGTGTAAAGGAGGAACACTGGTGCTAGGCATGGTGTCATCTACATTTTCTGCAGACAATTTCATATGCCTATGCTTAGATTCACCCAACAGATTAGGCTTCTGCATGGAAGATGATGGTTGCTGACCCGCATCAATGTCAACTCCATTCCTACCTATAGATAGAGGATTTCCTGAATGAGGCAAGGTCAAAGCTTTAGAAGATAGAAGATTAGACTTGTGACGGATTCTACGGATAGGACCAAAAGATCCTATATCGTTATCTAATACAGAACTTCTGCGTTTCAATACCTGCAGAAAGAGGGGAGTGGAAAAAAAATAAAAATCCAGTAAAATACCCCTCAAAGAGAACTCTTAAATATACACTGAAATGATAGGACTTGAAACCACAAATATCTGTACCCCTTGTTTAGATCCAGAAATCATATCATGATCAACCGCATTCTGAGCCGAAGATGATGGCTCACCTTCAACAGCAGCCCTGGCAACCTGTAAGAGAGACCATATATGATTTTCAACACTAGAAACATCATGATAAAAGAAAATATATATCATTCAGTAAATGGCAAACCTTGGGCAAAGAGCCTGGATAAGCTCTCGCATAAGGTGTTCGAGCCATACTATATATTGCGGATCTGCCACGAGATCTTGGAGTCACAAAACCATTTTCATGAACCCTAGAAAGGGTACTAGTAGCCCTTGGCACAATTGACATAATAGGGGATTTCTGAGCAAAGTGTTGACTTTTTAGTAAGGCTGTTTCCTCCCTGGGAGAACTTCGCAATCCTAACATCGATGGGGATAACTTTGAAGGCCTGCTCCCCATGTAAGCCTTGGCAAGCTCCGCAGGGGAAGCAACATCATCAACAGAAACCTATAGACATTAAATAAACACATCAAATGGATCATCTCATGACAGGTAATTAACAATTTCACAAGTACAATCATACATCCAAACATATATGAAAGATAGGTATAAAACAAATGGTCATACATTGGAAGAAACCTTAGTAACATATGGGGTTGAAACAAGATGGTTTTCAATCTGATTTTCTAATGCTGGAGTTTTGGGATATTCTTCCTTTTGTTCACGAGGCAAAATTGGATCTGATGGCACCACTTCTGTTCTCTTCCCTTCTTCCCCAACAAGTGAATCCACAGTTCTTGAACGCATAAGTTCCGTCAAATGCTCTATCTCTGATCTGTGGAATATTACACCCTCATCATGTGCAGAACAAAAAAACACTTGTTCCGAAAAGAATGTTGTCTAAGAATGTAAAATGACATTAATTTGAAATGGCCGGCAGGAAGAAGCAAATTGTAAATTTCAAAGCAAGAACTTAACAAGCTTCAATAAATTATACAGGAAGTGCAAATTACACAATAACAACCATCAAGCACTATGCCATGAGGTATGCTCAGCTATATAGATCAAGCAACAACATTGGCTCTAAAAAGCACCAGAAGCTTCTACTGTATTTCACCGATCCATGTCATAAATAAACAACTAAGTTACATGTTGGCACTTGGCAGCAAACTACCAAACACAGACCAGCCAACCCAGTACCAAAATCCACATGCAGTCATGCACATCATACAAAGCATACCTGGTGAAAGTTTTCTGCTTTAATAGTTTCTCAAGTTCAGTTAATTCATGTCCATCAGAACTGTTGATTTGGACACTAGTTTCACCTGCTACTGCATGTTGCTTGCCAGAGGATTCATTTGCAACCTGTTTCTCCTCAAACAGCCAACAACAAAACAAAAATACAATCACAATTCGCAACAATGATAAGAAAAACTAACATCAATAAACTTGACATATTTAGACAAGAATCAAAATACTAGTGACAACCTTAACCAACAAGGAGTAAATTTATCCAATCAAATCAACAGAACAAGTTTATGAATTTCCAGTGAAAATTATCCATCTTGTCAGAACTTTACAAACAAATAATATTTGTCTTGGCAAGCACATTTAAAATTATTCCTTTGAAAATGATAAATAAATTGACTGAATTTTTTCAAAGCTTTCAATAATGATTAGTTAATAAAAAATCTTATTTGATTATTTTTTATTTAGTATACCAACCATCAAGAGAAAAAAGTAAAGCTTCATTATTACTCAACCTTTTTAACAACCTAATTTTAAGTCGTAATTTACTAATGGAATAACCAAAAAACTATTAGTAGGCTAGTAGCAAAATGAAAGCATAAATGATACACAGAATTTATTTAATTTAAAGCCAAATGCATGTTCATCACACCCAAAATACAATTCCTAAGGATATGCAAACAGAAATAAGATATGTGAAGCATGCATACTTACAATGAGAGCTGTTTCCTGATGAAGGTCCCTCACTTCTTGTACAGCTTCTGTGCCAAAAAAATACCATAAAGTAAAAACATGGAATCATGTTCGTTGACTATAATATCAAAAAAAACAGCACACAAAATGAAGGGGAAAAATAGGGAAAAATCACAGAGAAGTTACAACTTACAATTTACCTTCACAGCTTTACCACAGATTATTACCCCAATTTACAACTAGTACACAGAAAAATAAGGAAATCGACGAGCCTAGAGAAAAATTCCACAGCCATTGGTTCCCATTTCTCAATTACAGTGTCCTACTCTCAGCTTCGAATGAGATATGTAAGCCAAAAACTTAATTGTCGATAAAGATTAAATAATATCATTTAAGAGTACAAATTATACCATCTTAATCACATTCTTATAGATATTATTTACAAACTATTACCACATCAGGGGTATGATGGGAACTACTGAGGCACTGGCTGAATCTAAAACTCTACATCCAATTCATTCTGTCAGTGCACCAACCTGAAGCCAACTCAAGTCTGTTCAGCGACACAGTCCAATTCAAAAAACCGCACATGCACCCTTCTCGCAGAAACAACCCATTCTTATAAACTTAAAAAACATACTCACATCTAGTGCTCCATCCTAACATTATAACTAAGATAAGGGCTTTCCACTTACCCTTGCCATTCACCTCCCCAATTTCAAATGTTACTCATTGAATTCTATTCTATCCTTCCGGCCAATCATCGAAACACAAAGCAAAATTTAACATCGCATTTACGCGATATTTAAATTACAGTGCCCCCTAATTACGGATTCATGTACAAAACATAACACACAAGTCTTGTTATTCAGCGAGTATCAGAATATACCCAGTATCATATTCATACCACAGCAAAAGTCTCAACCTTTCAGAAACATAACACACCCAGCAACATAGGAACTAAAATTCAAGTAGTTCCGAACCGCACAACAACATTATTAATTATCAAAATGCCGCATTAAATGCTTTCAAAATTGAAGCCATTGGCATTATTAATTATCAGCAAAAACGCCGAAGAAATTATATTCGCATGAGTTAAAAAAAAAAAACATTTTAAAAGAAAAACCTAAAATTATCTTCCAATCAAAATGAATCAAAATTTTCCATTTTAGAGAGAGAGAAAGAGAAACCTTGTGGTGGTGGTGGTGCAGGAAGGCGTTTGCGGAAAACGGAGGCGAAGATTCTGTTAGCGCTAGAAGCGATGAGCCTCTGCGCGGGATCCACAAGCTTCGAGAACCAACCGTTGTTCCTGTTAGGGTTTCGCAGCGCTGTCGGTGGCCGATCGTACGGCGTCGTTGGGGTTTTGCGTAACGGTCGCTTTCGGAACTTGCCGAACCCGCCGCCGCCTTCGTAAGCGTTCTCTTCACGCGCCGGCGCCATGAGAGAGAGAGAGAGAGAGAGAGGCAGAGAGAAAGAGAGAAAGCTTCGAATTCGAGAGAGGAAGTTCAGAGCGAGCAAAATTAGGGTTTTAATCGCAGAGAGAGAAAGGAAGAGAGAGAGAAAGAATAAAATAAAATAAGATAATAGGAAATGGAAGAAAATAAATAATTGTTGGAGAATAATAATGAAACAGGGTAACGGATATCCGATGGATGTGTGTGAGCCTTCAAGAAGAGAATCTCACTTCTTTTGCTAATTTTTATTTTCGTTTAAATATATCTTTACACTCCCAAATTCTCAAATTTAATTTTTTTATTTTTAGTTTTCATAATTCATAAATATTTTTATCTTTTAAATTTAAAAGTTATATTCTTAGTTCTTAAAATAAATAAAAAATATATATATTATTTTAATTACTTTCAATTTATTGTTATTAATTCTAATATTAGTGGCTAAAATATTATTTTAAAATTCATAAAGATTAAAAAGATAAATTTCATTTGAAAGAGAAAAATAATAATTTTGGATATTTCAAATACTAAAAACATAAGTTTTAAAATTAGAGACTAAAAAAATATATTCCAAATTTGTAAAATTAAAAACATAATTAAGTCTTTTAATTTTAATTTTTTTAATTTTTATATTTATTAAAACAAATACATAATTGACTAAAATTTGATTAATAATTTATTTAAAAATGTAACTTCTCTTAAAAAAATTATAAAAAGAGAATAAGAATTTAGTACTTCTAACTACATATTTAAGAGACAAAATTATCTTTTAATTATATAATATTTCATTAATTTTTATTTTTATTTTACTTTTTTTTTCTTTTCCTTTCTCTTTCTCTTTAGTCATTTTCTTAAAAGAAAGCAGATGGCAGACTGGCAGTAATTGAATATTTTTTTAAAAAAAATATAGTTATTTTTATTCATTGTCGTACTTTTTATTTTATTTTGTTACGCATCTTAATATCTTTATCTTGTAGGTTTAAATTTCTTCAATTAACATTAATGTA